GGCAGGAATAGAACCCAGGACCCTTCAGTCCACAGGCCAACACTACCCACTGAGCAAAACCGGCTAAGGCCAGAACCCTAAATTTTATATAAAAATTTTATATAAAAAAGATGATGCTACTGACTAATGACAGTGGTAAAACAGACAGGATAGTCTGTAGATGACCCCAGCAGGTTACTCTGGGTTGCCTAAACAATGAACCAACTGTGACCAACGGCCTCCCTATTTCTTCCAAATTCGGCTTCCCATGGCACTGGTTGCTTTCTCCCTCTCAGCAGGAGGGGCTGCAACTTCCCATGGGCACCCAAAGAATCCAGATATAGGCATCTGGTTCTCTCAGATAACTCCTGACAGTTGACATCTAAATCCAGACAGCCTGATACCAAGTAGTCTGTGTGGACCCCCTTGATAAGGATGTTCACCACTTTGATCTTGAAGAAGAGAAAGCAAAAGAGGAGAGGATGTCCCTTCAATGGAATGCTCACTTGTGACATGTGCAACAGAGCACCCTGGGCCCACTGTATCCCCTGTGCCTTCTCTTGCAGACTCTTGGCTTTTTAGTTCCTAGGAAAGCCTGTTTTTTCATCTATGACATTGTGAATTTCCTGAGCTCTCTTGCATGACAACATATGTTTTAAGTTGCTTTCCAGATGATGAGCATTCCTTGTGCTTTCTATAGTTTCACCATTGCAATCTCTCAGGGAATAAAAAATATATAGTGTGAGACAACAGTCTTTCTAATTAGAAGACAGAAGTAAAACCATGATGTATTCTAGTAGGATGTCTTTAAAGTGCTTTAAATGCACTGTTAGGATCTGGTATGAGACTTAAGAAATCTGTAATTTTCATTTCTCTGTTCTTATTTATGGTACTATTGGTTTAACTGATTTGTAAAATTTACCCTGGTATTTTCTGCCTCACATATCTATAGAAACATGCAGTTTGTTGAACACCCCCTTTTTCTGTGGATTTGTTGGCATGACCATTGTGACATCCACTTTTAATCTTCCATGCTTCAAAATAAAAGTGTAAAAGAGCCTAGCTAGTGTTGCTCAGTGGTTGAACATGGAGCTATGACCAAGAGGTCATTAGTTCGATCCCTGTGGGCTTGATCCCCAGTAAGGGACATGCAGGAGGCAGCCAATTGATGTTTCTATCTCTCCCTTCCTCTCTCTAAAAATCAATAAAGAAAAAACATATTTTAAAAGTAAAAGTATAAAAGATCTTATCAATCATACAACACTCACTGTAATGATTTCATGGCTCCTTGTGACATGTGTGCCATAAACAAAATCTTTTATCTTTGGCCTACTCAACTAATGATTAAAAATGAAGAGAGAATAGCTCTCTAAGGTTAAATTATGAAAATTCCTATTGCACTAACATACAAAAATGGTTATTCTCTTGAATGTTATTGTGTTTGTGAGTGTTTGAGGGCCTAAACTTTTTTGTTACACCATGTGACTAAATTCCATAAGTCTAAGTCATTGCTGATTACCTTCTTGACATAAAATTATACGAAATCTTTACAAGATTTTTTACTTTCTAAAACCCTAATACACTACCCTAATACGCTAAGTTTAACTGATTACTTTTTCAGATAGAGCAATTATGAAAAACCCCAAAGTTGAATAATCTATGTAAATAAAAAAGATCATGCCATCCAATATATAACTAAAACAATTAAACCTATGAATTTTAGTAATAATTTTAAGAAGTAACAGTCATCTATTTGCATATATCAAAGGCAATGGTTTTCTTTTTAATATATTTTTATTGATTTCAGACAGGAAGGGAGAGGGAGAAATAGAAACGTCAATGATGAGAATCATTGATCGGCTGCCTCCTGCATGCCCCACACTGGGGATCAAGCCCAATACCCGAGCATGTGCCCTGACCTGGAATCGAACCATGATTTCCTGATTCATGGGCCGAAGCTCAACCACTGAGCCACGCTGGCCAGGGCAATGTTTTTCTTTTATTTATTGACTTATTTGACCTACAAATGGAATCATACTGTTTTGTAACTTGCTTTTTCCACTTAGCAATATACTTTGACATCTTTCCATCTCATTCCTTTAAGAACACCAATACAGGAATATTATTATGCTAACAATGTTTGTTTTGTTTTCAATCTTCTATTATGAACAATGCTGCAATAAATATCCTGTACATATATCTTTGTGCCCTTGAATGATTACTTGTATTAAGAGTAATTGTTAGAGGTAAAATTGCTGAGTCAAACAATACAAATATTTAGACTTTTAAGTTACTGCCAAATAGTCACTTTAAAAGGCTGAACCACTATATATAAACACTGTATCAGGGTAAGGCAGTGATTTTCAGACTTCTGTTACATGGGAACTCTTTCTTTGAAAGAAATCCTAAAAAAAAAAGAAAAGAAAAAAGAAAAAGGCTTTTCAGAATCCAGAATGGAAAGCGGAAAAGGAACTTTGTTTTGGTGAAAGCTGATGTAGGGGTGGGAGGCCTGCAGCTCTGGCCATTGGCCCAGACCTTAGCCTCTGTGGCACCTCCATGTGGCCTCCTGGAGCACAATACAATACAGGCAGCTTCTCTTTTTCTAACATAACATGTTTTCAAATACGTTTGACTGGCTGAAAATAGAACTAACATGATATAAGACTTAAGAATTATTATAAAATCCCTAATCACACCTCAATTTCAGACACAATTTTCAGTAATTTAGCACTAGCACTTTATATGTATTCTTTCATTGATTTCTTTCCCTTTACAATGAGCATCTGATTATGGCTAAGTTCTGTTCCCTTTAGATGGCCAAATAATTTTCATCTTTGTCTTAATTGCACTAAGTATATGAAACCTAAACTTGTTATCACTGGGATTAGCATTTTCATTTTTCTTTTCCTTCATTTTAATGAGAAGGGCAAAATGTAACGAAATATTCAAATAATTATAGAAACAAACTCATCAACAAAGATAGTGACTGTCAAAACTGAACTGAAAACTCTTGGCTGTATCACCATATAATATTAATTTATTAACTCATATATAAAAGTCTGAACAGAAGGAAAGGTGGGTTGGGGTGTGACTGAAGTACATAAAATGGCAGGTGGTAAAAATTTGAAGAACCACTTATATATCATTGTGATCAGTGACCTTCTTCAGTGGTTTAGAAGCCTATTTTCAATTTTTTCTTTATAGTTTTATCAAAATTGAACAAGCCTGTCAGTGCCAGGAAAACAATGAAAGAAGAGTGTGCTACGTAAAGAGTACATAAATGTCCACTTAGGCTATGGAGCCATTTGTACTGCTAATCTTGGAAAACCAGACGCTCTTCTCAGGCCTCTCACTCCAGATGTAAGCTTCAGTGTGATTCCTCTAAACCAGTGATGGCGAACCTATGACACGCGTGTCAGAGGTGACACGCGAACTCATTTTTTTGGTTGATTTTTCTTTGTTAAATGGCATTTAAATATATAAAATAAATATCAAAAATATAAGTCTTTGTTTTACTATGGTTGAAAATATCAAAAAATTTCTACATGTGACACGGCACCAGAGTTAAGTTAGGGTTTTTCAAAATGCTGATACGCTGAGCTCAAAAGGTTTGCCATCACTGCTCTAAACCAAGGCCTCTGCTCTCCCCAATTTTCCAGGAGAATGCTAGTCTCTTTTTTTCCTCTAAACTTTTTTACTTTTATTCTGATTTTTATCAGATTGAAGAGAAATCATCCAACGTTTATTTCAAGGTTGTTTCACATAGGCATAATTAGGCTTATTATTTTTAGCCAACCAGGTATTGTCCTTTTTTCATAATTATATAATACTTCTTAAAAGCATCCAGAAATCCTGTCTCTTTAGAGACAAGGATGGAAAACACTCAACTATCTAAAAGGAGCATATCTTTAGCCTCAATCAGATGCTTATTGTGAAAGAAGAAAAAAACTCAGTAGGAAACACATAGGAAGCTAGAATGATTTTATCCATTGATTCAACAAATGTGAGTTCCTATGAAGCAATGCGCTAATTGCTAAGAGAGTACAAAATGTATAAACCAGGGTCACTACCTTTAATCTATGATCCGATGAGGACAACTAGGCATACTCCCCAAAAAGTTACATGATAATATAAAGTATTTAGAATAAAATGTGAAATGTGTGGTACAGATTATAGTTGCCATAGAACACCCACCCTTTTATATTCTCAGTTCATTAACCCTTTATAGTTTCACTAGAAGCCCAATGTACAAAATTCGTGCAAGTGTAGGCCTTCCTTCTCCCGGCTGCAGGCACTGGCTTTCCTCTGGCACCTGGGACCCGGGCTTCCCTTGTAGCCCCGGCTTCATCTGGAAGGACGACTGGTCTAATTAGCATATTATGCTTTCATTATTATAGATGTGCCCTTGTACCCAGTCTAGCCTTCATGCCCAGCCACAGTAATTACACCAGCATCTCAGAACTGTTTGCCCACTTGGTCTTTCATATCTGCCTTATCAATTCCCAATCCTGAGTAAACTTCACTGTCTACTTTCTCAGCTTATTCTCCAGGGTGCTAAGCACAGCTGGAGAGAACTATGCTCTTTGCTCTACCTGACTCTCTATGTGATATCTCACAATTCTTCCAAATTTTACTTACTCACCTGAAGCTCTGATCCCAGAGACTCCTTCATCTCAGCCAGTGACATGACCTCCTTTGCTGCAGGAACCACAGGCATCCAGCTTGATTTCACCTTTTATCTTTCCAATCTGAAATTATTTTCTGATCCTTACTCTTCCTTTCCAAAAATAATTTCTCTATCCTTTTCTGACAATCCTCTCCCCTACAATCTTCCTCCAGAATTTGGCCTAACCATGATTTCCCTTCTCTTGTGGGATCAACACTCTCTCAGTCTCCATTGGCTCCTTCTTCTCAACCCCCAAACATGTTTGTAAGTATCCTATTCCCACACCTCCTGCATTAGTTATTCCCGTATAGCAAATTACCTCAAAATTTAGCAGATTAAAACAACAAAAACTTACCTTATAGTGTCTGTAGAATATAGGATCAGCTTAGTTGATGGTCGTTCTGGCTCTGGGTCTCCCAGAAGGCTGCAATCAAGATGTCATTCAGCCCAGCCGGTGTGGCTCCCTGGTTGAGCATCGACCTATGAACATGGAGGTCACGGTTCAATTCCTGGTCAGGGCACATACCCAAGTTGCCAGTTTGATCCCCAGTAGGGGATGTGCAGGAGGCAGCCAATCAACAATTCTCTGTCATTGAAGTTTCTCTCTCTCACCCTCTCCCTTCTTCTTTGAAATCAATAAAAATATATTTTTTAAAAAGATGTCATTCAGAGCTTGACTTGTGGCTGTAGAATCCACTTCCAAGTTTGAGTTTCCTCACAACATCGCAGCTGGGTTCCCCCAGAGCAAATGATTCAGGAAAGAAAGAAAGAAGGAAGCCCCAATGCCTTTTATTAGCTACTAGAGGCCCAATGCATGAAATTTGTGCAAGAGTAGGCCTTCCTTCCCCTGGTTGCCAGCACCGGCTTCCCTCTGGCACCCGGGTCCCGGGCTTCCCTCGCAGCCCCAGCTTTGTCCAGAAGTACAGAGAGACGTCCGGAAGGATGTCCAGGCTAATTAGCATATTACACTTTTATTATTATAGATTCTTAGAAGTGGTGTACCATCACTTAGTCTATTTGCTAGAAGCGAGTCACTAAATCCAGCCTACACTCAAAGGAGAAGAATCAGTCTCCACCTCTTAAAGAAAAGAACTTCAAAAATTTGTGGACATATTTTAAACCCACCATATCTCTCAAATATACCATTTTTCTTTTCTTTTAAAAAATATAGTTTTATTATTTTCAGAGAGGAAGGGAAAAGGAGAGAGAGGTAGAAACATTCATGATGAGAGAGAATCATTGATTGGCTGCCTCCTGCACGGACCGAGCCTGCAACCCAGGCATGTGCCCTGACCAGGAATCGAACTGTAATCTCCTGGTTCATAGCTCGATGCTCAACCACTGGGCCACACTGGCCAGGCAAATATAACATTTTTCAACCCTGCTAGTTCTTCAAGCTACTTTGCTGCTTTCTTACTCCTTTCAGTTATTCCCTTTCCTTACTTTCTCATTACCAATATTCAACTGTTGGCAGTCCAGATAATTATCACCTAACACTACTGCTGTTGAGCATAACTTTCAAATTAGCATGGCATTCAAGGCCCTAGAAAACCTAGTCACACCCTACCTTATCATTTTCTCTCCCCCAGTTTCCATTACATCTCATCCAGATAGACTTCTCATTATTCCCCAAACACACCCTCTGCTTTCCCAACTTAGTTCTTTATCAGATGATTTATTTCCCTCACCAGGAAGATCCTCTCCTTACTTTCTCATTGTTTAAGACCCAGTACAGCCCAGCCAGCATCCCTCAGTGGTTGAGCACCAACCTATAAACCAGAGGTCACAGTTCAATTCTCAGTTCAGGGACATGCCCAGGTTGCGGGCTCAATCCCCAGTGTGGGGAGTGCAGGAGGCAGCCAATCAATGATTCTCTCTCATCATTGATGTTTCTTTCTCTCTGTCCTTCCCTCTCCTCTCTGAAATCAATAAAAATATTTAGAAAAAAAAAAGATCCAGTACAATTGCCATTTCACCCAAGAAAATTTCCTGATCTTCACAACCATAAATATCACTTCGCTCCTCTGCACTCTCAGAGCACATTGTCAACTTTACTGTAATAATCTCATTTTACACCATTATTGTGTTGGTGTACACCTTTGTATTCCTTTCAGCTTTCCAACAATACCTTGCTCATTCATATTAAGTTCTTAATCTTTTTTGAATGAATACATTTACCAAATCATTAAGATTTAATTTTAATCTCATCAAAAGGCAAATTAAAGTCCCTATAATCTCTAACTGTATTAGACTAATATACTGAGCTAAGGGAAATTGCAGAATGGCCTTTGCTAAAGAAGAATATAGTCTTCTTTTCTATTATTTGAAAAAATTTAATGGGGTGACTCAAATTAAATTGTGATTATTCTCCAAAAAGGTTTGCTTCTGAGATATGTTTGCGTATAGTATTTTTACAGTCCCCAGTCAACATGAAATTTCCATGGAAACAGATCACACACACTGGAGAAGAAAGGAATTGACTTGTGTTTGAACTGCATTTTGTCATCTCCATGGAGCTATCTGTGCTAAATATTTGAGTGAGCAGGGAAACTATAATTTAAAATAAACTAAGTAAAGACATATTATTTAATGCTTTTTAAAAATGATAATAACTGCTATTAAAGATTTTTATTAATATGTAGAGAAAATAGAAAAAGACATTTAAAAATTTCTTGACTCATACATTAATATTAGCAAATCAAATACCCATTTGCTTCTTTACTAATGCAGAAAAGGGAAAGAAATTAAATACTCATCATGAAATGGGTGGTGTTGCTGTTTTTTGGTCTACAGATAAAATAATTTCTTCTGAATATATCATTCTAGTCTAAATTTGTTGTCTAGCAACAACATGGCAGCTTGGTTCCCCCAGAGCAAGTGCATTAAGAGAGCGAGGGAAAAGGAAGCCCTAATGCTTTTTATTAGCCAGTCTTAGAAGTGGTGTACCATCACTTCTGCTTATTCTATTTGCTAGAAGTGAGTCACTAAACCAGCCTACACTCAAAGGAGCAGAATCAGTCTCCACCTCTTAAAGAACTCCAAAAAAGCAGTGGAGCCTGGGCGGGTAGTTCAGTTGGTTAGTGTCATCCACATATGCCAAGGTTGTGGGTTCCATCCCTGGTCAGAGCACATACAACAATCAAATGAATGCATAAATAAGTGGAACAACAATTTGATGTTTCTCTCTCTTTAAAATCAATCATTAAAAAAAAAAAAAGCAGCAGAAAGCTGCCAATGGAGAGTATCCCTTCCATTTGGCCAGTTTTAATTATTCTCTGATAGTTATGCTCCAGTGGAAATTTGAATGAAGGCTCTACCTAGTTGGGCAGAATAGGTTGAATGACAGTCAACCTTCAGATGGGTTTGCTACGTGCTCCCTTTCTCCAGCTGGGAAGGGCTGCCTCCGGAGCTAATCCTGTTTCCTCACAGGCTTTATAGGACTGCCTATACCTTCATTAAATTACAGGTAATCATGCTTAAGGAGGTAGGAAGAGCTCCTATAGGCTTTGCCCCTCTTATAGGAACCAGATTTCCTTTTCTGGGGCAGCTGTGGCTTTGATTGAACCAAGTGACAGCTCAGAGGCTCAGACGTGATTACATTTTGACTCTTCCACAGGGGGTGTGAGTTTAGTGGATAGAGGGCCATATGCCCCAAAGAAAAGTAAGCCTAAAATCCAAGATGTTGATGACACAGGCAAAAAAGGATGAAAAAACCCAAGATACTCAGGCCTGGAAAGTGAGACTTTGGCTAGATTTAATGAGAACCTACACACCACAGATAATCTATTTTCCCTTCAGATTCATTCTCTAGTCTACTCTGTGCCCTGAGAGGCTGACCTATATGGATTGTGTCACTTTACACTCTGACTTCTAGTTGTGTTCAGAGACTCTGGAGGGGGGCCAATACTGGTAGGAAATTGGTAAAAGAGTGAGGAAAGGATGTTTATTTCCCTGGCTCCCTCCCTGCCACCTAGCCATGTTGGTGGTTCCCCTCTGCTAAAATCACCGCTCCTTATCAGCGGGCTGTCATAGCGTAGGTCTTCAAGGGGATTCAGCCACCATTCCTTCCCCTTTCTAGCTTAGGGATGGTATCAGCTCCCTGCTGTTACTAGCCATGGGGTACTACAACATCCTAGTCTTTTCTAAACCTTGCCTTTATAAATACCCTTTTGTTGTTGTTATTAATCCTCACCAAGGATATTTTTCCATTGATTTTTATAGGGAGTAGAAGGAAGGGAGGGAGAGGGAGAGAAACATCAATGTGAGAGAGACACATCGATTGGTTGCCTCTGCCACATGGCCTGAGCAGGGCAGGGAACCTGCAATCCAGTGCAAGGGCCAACGCTTTAACCACTGAACAACACTGGCCAGCCAGGGCATAAATAACCTCTTTATTAAACTACTAGAGGCCTGATGCACGAAATTCGTGCAAGGGGCTCGGCCCTCGCAGCCGCAGCAGCTTGCCTCAGCCCTCACAGCCCTGGCTTTGTCCACAGAAGGTTGTACAGAAGGACATCCAGAAGGTCGTTCAGCCGTCTGGTCTAATTAGTATGTTCCGCTTTTATCATTATAGATCCTTAATTACCCAGTTTGATGGTACCACCTTTTTTCTGAATCCTGACTGATCAGGTGATATTGATTTTCAACAAGAAATCTCGGAAACAGTTTATACAATTTTACTATAAATAATATTTATTATGGAGGCATTTCCTTGTGCACAGCATATTTTATGACTAAAACCTTCCCATGTTCCTGAACTGATCCTTGAGGTGAGCTGCTTTCTGTCTCTGCACAAGTGAGAGGGACTGAGAACAGTCCTTTCTTCCATCCTGGCAATTAACCCTGGGCATATTTACAAATGAGTAGCTTTCCCTCAAGATGTGGCCAGTCTGTCAGACTAAACTTCAGTCCTGACTACTGGTTTTCAAATTCAACTCCCTGCGGGGGCTGGAGCCTGACCTTAAACCCTAGCCTTGTAAATCTTGCAGATATTTCCCAATGGATTTGTTTTTCCCCCATTGTCTTTCAGTAGCTGGCTGCTTCCTCTGTCACCAAAAATGGATCTTCTTGTCACTGTTTTTGCCCTGATCCTGAACCTAAAAAACTGTCTGTCTCAAAATCCCTTCTGTTATACTACCCCTGACCATCAGATGGGAATCATATTTGCTGATTCTCTTGGACTTTTCTATTTGGACTGCTAGCCCTTCCTTGGAGCCTATGCCTATTGGGTGACTTTTCCTCCAGCTGTCATTCCTCCTACACAGACTTCTGCCAATAGGATTCTGGAATACTTCATGGCCAAAGTTATATCACTCACGATCAATACAAACTGAAGAGGAATGAACAATACAGTGTTCAAAATAGAGAGACAAGAAGACACACAAAAAAAGGCAAAATAGACAGAAAGGAAGAAATAGGAAGTGTGCTTTTAGTAAAATACTAAAAACAATGCATTCTAAGCAACCAATAGAGGTATTGGTCAGTTTATTAATGAATTGGCATTTTTAAACCAGCCCTTGTAAGTCAATTCCCTAAGGCTTAATCACTGTAAATGAACATTAAAAATTTTTTTTAAAGCTTGTGGACCAAGATCCTAAAATCAGGACCCTAACAATTCTTGGACTCCAGCATAAAGACTCTGACAAGAAACAGTATTAAATGTCCAGAAAAGAGGAGAAAGGTTAAAATTATGGTAATACATAAATTATGGTATTGGGAACCTGATTACTTAGCATTTTATTGATGACCAAGGCTCATCAATAACTACCTCTAGTCACACTGCTAGTTTTGGGGAAACTAGAATTTAAATGGAGGCTTGTTTTTTTAAAAACATTTTTTTAAGAAAGCCATGTTATGGTTTGTTGTTTTTTAAAATATATTTATTGATTTCAGAGAGAAAAGGAGAGGGAGAGAGAGATAGAAGCATCAGTGATGAGAGAGAATCATTGATTGGCTGCCCCCTACTGGGGATGGAGCCCGCAACCCCGCATGTGCCCTTAACCAGAATGGAACCTGGGACCCTCCAGTCCGCAGGCTGACACTCTATCCAGCTAGGGCTAAACTGAGGCTTGTTTAAAAAACTCATAATCTTCTCTACTGCCCTAATATATAAGTATGATAGAATGTCGGGCAGCCCTTAAAATAATTCATATGACTAGCCTCTGATCATCATTCTCCATGTGATCTGGAAATCTTTAATCTGAAAGCTTTACCCCGTTTCCAGACCTCTAGTGGAGGTTTTACTCTTCCATAACTTTGTGATTCTTCTACACTCTCTGGGACTCGAAATGGTAGACTGTTAGAGCAAAGCTATAAACTAATCATCATATATATGATTAGCCAAAGAGAAGATAACTAATTTTATAACACTTTACCAATTGTTTTGAATGTCCTAAAGTAACAAATCAGGGACCCATTTTTTTTTTACAGGTAATTCACAAAGATTGCCTTAAAAGACTTCCTGTAAACATTTCCACAGACATGTCCTATTGAAACCTCAAACCCAAAGACCATATAGTCATCCAAAAGTTGGTTACCAACCTGTACTCCAAACACAAGCTTAAGCTTAGTCAGATCTTAATAGATGTGTTAGTTAAGTGACCCTCCACCTCCTCAACAATTATCTTAGAGGTTTCACTGTTCACCGAAGTCTCTAGCGGGGGTCTGTGGGGGCAGGCGGTCCCTCCTCTCGCCCCCATCTACTCCCCCACCCCTCCCGCACCGGCCTGCCCAGCCCTTCACTACGCAGGCAATCGCCAGCCCCTGACCCGACCTTTCCGCCTGGGCCTCGCCTCTTCCTCCGTCTCACGCCCCCAGTGGGCCAAGCCTCGGAGAAGAGCCTGCTAGTTAGGGGTGCGAGGACGTTTAACCCGCTCCTTCCTCCGGGGCAGGCATTAAGCCCCTCGCTCAGTTCCCAGGCTGAAGCGCCTACTAGGGAATGGGGACGAACTGCCCGACGCGCAGAGACGATTCTGCGCACGCGCGCGGCTCCGCCCCGCCCTGGCCTCGGAGCGCCGAGCCTGAAGCCCAGTGAGCCAATCAGGGCGCGCCTCGCCGGTACGCCCCCAGCCGCGCCGCGCGCGTGCGTCCTCCTGCAGGGCGGCATTCGAACACAACGGTGGACTTGCCGACGCTCCTTTCACCGCATTCCCGCGAATCGTCGCCCATGGAAACGGCCTTCCCCAAGGGGAATTCGAAGCCCCTTCAGACTGAGGGGAAGTGGGGGGCGGGGAAGAGCGAGGAAGGCTTTTTCATTTTAAAGAAAGAAACCGTCACTCGCCTCACCTCCCCTTCTAGCTTCTCAGGATAGAAACGGCTTTCTGCGCTCAGATTAATAGATGTGTTAAAGGCAAGAGGTATTTTTCTTTTAAATGGTAAGTTTCTTCTTCGTGAGGTAATGTGGTATCCGTGTGTTACCCAGAATTCCCGAGGGCCCACGAGGCGTGTTTCCGGTCGCTGTATAAACTTGGAGACTTGCCATGCATACACGTGACATTTTCTTTTAATAGAAAAATGTGATCCTATTACTAGTATGTTCTCCCAGTAATGTCTCCTATATTGGGAGATTAAAAGATTACACAATCCTTTTTAATGAGTGTAATGGCACTTAATAGATATAAGATGTTCAACCCCAAAATGGTTGGACAGTTTTTCAGTTGTATAAACAATACCAGGTGACTATTCATATACATAAATGTATACATGTACCTGATTACTTCCAATAAATTCATAGAAATATAATTGCTGGGTCAAGGGAAATGCACAATTGTAAGATTCTCATGTTACCAGATTCTCCCCTTGAAATGTATTTGCAATAGTCCCCGCTTATCCATAGTGCTCGGTGCTGGGGATAAGAGTCTGGTAGGAGAGAAGCACACATAAATAGGACATTACAATATCATGTGATAAGTTATGTGATAGGGTTAAGTACACTGTGCCATGGAGCACTATGTTCTATGGTGAGGGAAGGACTGAAGATTAAATGCGAAATTAGGCAGGTGAAGTAGGGAGGGAAATAAAAAAAATGCTCTAACAGTTATTTTCAAAGTGTGGTTCATGGACCAGCAACATTAACCACCTGAAAACTGGTCAGAAATTCAGATTCTCAGGCCCCATCCCAGACCTACTGAATAAAAAAACTCTGGGTGGGACCTTAGCAATCTGTGTTTTTTGTTGGTGGTGGTTTTTAATCCTCACCTGAGGGTATGGTTGTTGTTGTTTTTTTTAAAAAATTACTATTATTACTGATTTTAGAGAGAGAGAGGTACATCAATATGAAAGAGAAACATCCATTAGTTGCCTCTTGTACATGCCCCAACCAGAGATTGAACTCAAAAACCTAGGTATGTGCCCTGACTGGCAATTGAACCTTTGGCCCTTCGGTGCACAGGATGACACTCAACCAATTGAGCCACACCAGCCAGGGCCAGAATAGTTTTTGCATGTATCAATGTGAATTTATTGTCATATGTCCCATGTAGGATGCTTAAATTCATATATCAATAATTTTTTTAAATCTCACCTGATTATATTTCAAAGTAAAAAGTCCTGGCCAAGGAGCTAGCAAATTAATTTCCTTTAATAAGTCCATAAACTTAATTTCTATGTATTTTCTTAAAGAACTTGTCACGTAGACTCATAGTAGATCTTATAAACTTTGCAAAACTACATTGTTATAGGATACTTAGGTTAATAGATACCCCTTTATTTAAATAATATTGAAAAATATTTACATAAATTTTAGTATTGTAAATACCAAGGAAGCCCATATTGATTGACCACATACATTCCAGACACTTCCCTAAATTATTGTCTCCTTTAATCCTCACAATAGTTGAAAGCGGTATTACCTTGACTTTACTGTTGCAGGAACTGAGGGTCTTGGAAGTTAAATGAATTATTCCAAGACAAGTAGTAGGTAGTGAAGATTCAAATCAGAGTATTTGGATTCCATGAACAAGGTTCTGTCTCTTTGTGCTTACCAAGTCCCAGATATTAGAAATATAAAGATGAAGCCCAGCTGGAGTGTCTCAATAGTTGAGTGTCGACCTATGAACCAGGATGTCGGTTCAATTCCTGGTCAGGGCACATGCTCAGGTTGTGGGCTCCATCCCCAGTAGAGGGTGTACAGGAGCCAATCAATGATTTTCATCATTGATGTTTCTATCTCTCTTTCCCTCTCCCTTTCTGAAATCAATGAAAAACATTTTTTTCACATAAAAATTTAGTTTATTAATCCTCTTATGAAAAATCTGCACAATCATCACCGATAAAGTCACTGAAGAATCTTTACTCCTTTTTGCCAGCACCAACATTGGCCTTTGCAGTCCCCCTGACTTTCTTCATTCTGTACTTGCGTTCCTTTCTCTGTTTTCTTGATCTCACATAGGCCATGTCTTGTAAGTCTATGTTTGGGTTCGTTTTTCTTTGTGTAATCCAAGGAACCGTAAATTATGCCAAAGCCAGTTGTCTTGCCACCAACATAGTGGGTTCTGAATCCAAACACAAAGATGACATCAGGTGTGGTCTTATACATTTTGTCTAGTTTTTCCAGAATTTCTGTCTTGGGCACTGTTGCCTTCCCAGGGTGAAGGACATCAATGCCCATTTGCTTCCACTGAAGTAGTTTGTTGGTCATGAACTTCCTGGTTCGGATAGTTACTGTGTCATTCATGATGATGGTTGAATTTCAAGCAGCCAGGGAGGAAAAAGCAAAAATATTTAAAAAAAGAAAAGAGGGTCCCCTGGCGTGGCGCTGACTGAACCTGGGCGCCCGGGCCGGGTGAGCGTGGGCCGGCCAGTGGGCCACACGCGGTTCCCCACTGTCGCCATGTTGGGGGGCATTTGGGCATGGACCTGCCAGCGATACCGTGCTGCCTCCACCGCCACGCTGCACAAAGAACCCAGGCCCCATTGGCCTTTAAAAGCAACAGCCTGAGATTCAAGGTGTTCTGGAGTTCCGTGCCCCGATGTGTGTTTTATGGTGAATGCCTGGTCGGTGCGCCCACCTCACCATGTCCCTTCCATTGTTGGTGTCCTGGGCTTAGGGGCTTGGAGGTAGGTGTATCTGAAGAATCCAGTGGACTAAGAGAGGGAGGAGAGGGGCCCAGCTGTGAGGTATGTACACCCAAGAACCATGTCTACATGGGAGTCTTAACCCCGAAAGTTATGAATTGGACAAGAGCTTCCGATTAACAAGATTTACTGAACTGAAGGGCACTGGCTGCAAAGTGCCCCAAGATGTTCTGCAGAAATTGCTGGAATCCTTACAAGAGAACCACTTCCAAGAAGATGAGCAGTTTCTGGAAGCAGTTATGCCAAGGCTTGGCATGGATACTTGTGTCATTCCTTTGAGGCACAGTGGTCTTTCCTTGGTGCAAACCACAGATTACATTTATCATATTGTCGACCCTTATATGATGGGCAGGATAGCATGTGCTAATGTACTCAGTGACCTCTATGCAGTGTGGGTCACAGAATGTGACAATATGCTGATGCTTCTTGGAATCAGTAATAAAATGACTGATAGGAAAAGGGATAAAGTGATGCCCCTAATTATACAGGGTTTTAAAGATGCAGCAGAGGACATCTATAACAGGCAGACAAACAGTGGTAAACCCCTGGATTGTTTTGGGAGGAGTGGCTACAACTGTCTGCCAGCCCAATGAATTCTTCATGCCAGATAACTCAGTGCCTGGGGACATGCTGGTTCTGACAAAGCCCCTGGGGACACAAGTGGCCATGGCTGTGCACCAGTGGTTGGATATTCTTGAAAAGTGGAATAAAATTAAACTAGTGGTCACTCAAGAAGATGTGGAGTTGGCATACCAGGAGGCGATGATGAATATGGCAAAGCTCAACAGAACAGCTACTGGACTCATGCACACGTTCAGTGCCACGCTGCCACTGATATCACTGGCTTTGGAATTCTGGGCCATGCACCGAACCTAGCTAAACAGCAGAGGAACGAGGTGTCCTTTGTGATTCACAACCTCCCTGTCCTGGCCAAGATGGCTGCTGTGAGCAAGGCCTGGGGAATCATGTTTAGCCTCATGCATGGGACCTGCCTGGAGACATCAGGAGGCCTTCTAATCTGTTTACCATGTGAGCAAGCAGCTCGGTTCTGTGCAGAGATAAAGTCTCCCAAATATGGTGGAGGTCACCAAGCATGGATTATAGGTATCGTAGAGAAGGGCAATTGTACAGCCAGAATCATAGACAAACCCTGGATCATCGAAGTCGCATCACAGGTGGCCACTCAAAATGTGAATCCCACACCTGGTGCCACTTTTTAATCTAGACCGAAATAGCTATTTGTTTTTGTTTTTAAATAGATCTATTTCCTTTATCATTTCAATTAAAGACTATAAACAACAAAAAATCTCATTGTGTCTACACATCTGGTGACCTGAGGTCTATTTGTGAGTGGATGCAATTAATAAGATAAAATCTATTGCCTTTTTTTTTTTTTTAAATCTTTATTGTTCAGATTATTACAGATGTTCCTCTTTTTCGCCCCCATAGCTCCCCTCTACCTGGTTCCCACCCCACCCTTCCTGTTACATTAACTGGAAGATGCACCTAATCTTGAGGCAGCTTCTGAGTTGGAGGAATTATATTGGTTGTCCGATACTGTTGGATTCATTTTGAATCTTTAGGACACATCTCTTGCCACATAGTCTTCTTTTTAAAGGTGCTTTCACATAG